CTGCAGTCTCTCCTTGCCCGCCAGTTGGGGTGGAGAGGCATTCTTTTGCACCGGACACAGTTGGGGGGGGGGTCACCCCTAGATGAAACAGCCCCAGGCTTAGGTGAGAGGCCGGCTCCTGCGCACAGGACGCCGCGGGCCCCCTACTCTATCAAGGGACAAAGATATTACCTTCCTGTGACGCGCACAACGGTCACATGCATTCTGGCTGCCACAGAGCGAGAGTGCAGGCGCAAGGCCATGCTCAGGGGACCGCTCAGAGTTGATGGTGACACCGCAGCCCCAGCTGGGTGGGTGCAGGTGGAGGCAGCTTACACCACGAGTGGGGGCTCTTTCCTAGGCTTTCCCTGGTCGCCAGGCCACAGAGACTGGCAGTGAGGTAGAAGAACCCCCTTAGTTGGAATCCCTCATCCTCCTTTCCAGGCCCCGAACTACAATTGGATTCGGCCTCTGAAATCTGGGCAAATTGCATGATTCGGTTTCCACCGAGACCTTTGGAATCTGGCTGAGGAGGCCAGGTCCGCCAGCATAGCCCATCGTCTTTAGACCATGCTGACCCCTGAGGGCCTGGCCAGGTCAATCTGGCGTCTGCTACCACCAGCCCTGGCCCTTCCTCTGCCCGCATCTGGGCGGTGTGTGTGTGTGTGTGGGGGGGGGGGGGAACCAAACACTGATTTCCCCTCTGTCCTGTTCTGTGAGGACCTGGACCATCTCCTCCAGACCCAGGGAGGCTCTGTGACTACCACTGGGCCTGGAGGCTTTGGCCACATTTGGGGGACAGACCAGTGGCCCACCTTAGTCTTGACGGACTCTGCAGCTGCACCGCAAGCCTAGAGAAGCTGTGGAAACACAGGTGGCGCTGGCATGCACCTGCTGCTGGCAGAGCCTTGCAGCTGACCATCAAACCTGGAGGGACCCCAGATGGTCCCGTGGTCCCTGGGTGGGAGAGTGGAAAGGCCACCTTGGTTAGGGCCCGCTTTGGCTACCTCCCCTGACAGGGTTGGCTGGAAGGAGACTGAATCACTCGGTACAGAGAGAGGAGCCAGTCTGGGACTGAGGAAGCCACTGCGCATAGGGAAACCAAACTCTGACCCATCTGATTAAGTCTCCAGGCTGGGACTCAGGGCTCTGTGTGCATGCAGAGTGCCGAGGGTCTCAAGCCACGCCCTAGAAGGGTCACTCCTTCCTGGAAGTGGCTTCCTGGGGAAGAGGAAACCAGGGCATGTGTCCAAGTGGCCCTTGAGCTTTTTCCCTTCATTCTGGTGCAGCATCGTCCTCCCACAGCAGGGGAAGCCCAGCTGGATGAGGCTGGTTGAGCTGCACCCCCCAGTTCCCCAAGCCCCAGGAGCAGGGCCTGGCCGGCTCCCAGCTCAGCAGGTGGTGAGGTTGGCCTGGTGGCCCAAGGGCGGGCAGTCCCTGCCAAGGCTCACTCACAGCTCTGGCTCCTGTCTGCTCCGTCCTGTGCCAAGAGTCCTGCCAGAGCAGGAACGGTGCGGTCCGCAGGCCACGACCTGTCACCACGGCTGTCTCCACTCCTGACTCTGGGCCCAGTCTTGCTACTTGCACTTAGCCTGTGGGCAGTGGAAATGCTGTGTGGTCTCCACAGGTGGCCAAGAGGAATGGCCTCCATGGAAACAGAAAACATAGAGGCAGAAGGGCCCTCTATGGATGCCCTGCCCATCGGCACCAAATGCGGCTGGCGCAGCCTCACAGGGTACAGCCTGGTGGGCAGGGAGGCCAGTGCTGTGCACCTGGAACCAGGGGAGACCCCGTGCTGGGACACACTAGCACATTTCCCAGGATGTGCTTTCCTGGGAAAACGGACTCCAGAGATTTCCACTGTCACCACGAGGCCGAGTCCAGGCACTGAGTCTCCCCATCTCAATTTGAACATGTTGAAGTATCCAGGGAGACAAGTAACCTCTTCCTGTCTCTCTTCTCTACCTAAGAGTGGCGAATCTCTGGTCTCTAATAATTCCACCGCAGGTTTCCAGCTTTGGATTAGAACAAGGGCCAAAACAAGACTCCAAAACATCACAGCCTCTGTCAGGGGTGAGGAGTCCCAGCTCTTTGGAAGGCGGGAGGTCAGACATTCTGCAGCTTCCAGGCCAGCCTGGGAAACTTAGCAAGACACTTAGCAAAATAGATAAACAGGAAGTGTCCCTGGGTTTGAGCCCCAGTTCTGCAAAAGAAAAAAAGTGCTTTTCTACCGTAGTCGGCTCTCCTCTTCCAGTTTCTACAGATGAATTCAAAAGTCGAAGGCCAGAGATTAGAAACAATCATCAGGGTATTTCACTCCATTTCAATGACTCTGTCTTGTTTTGCTGTTCTTACATTAACACTCCAGAAACGGTTTCTGAACTGTAATGAATTACCACCTGATGACACCAGGTAAGGTGACTATTACTCAAAAAATGAAACAGAGTAACAAGTGTTGGAGAGGACATGAAAGAACCAGAAGCCTTGTGTGCTGCTGGTGGGAATTGAAAACTGAGCAGCTACTGTGGAGAATGGTACGGAGATTCCAACAATTAAAAATAGAATGATTCTGGGATCCAGCAAGCCCATGTCTGGCTCTGTAACACAAAGGAACTGGAAGCAAGACCTTAAAGAGCTCCTAATAGCACCACTCACCATAGCTCCCAAGTAGAAATAACTAAGTGACACCGGTAGACGAGTGGGTAAACAAAATGTGTATACATAGGGTGGAATATCACTCAGCCCTGAAAAGGAAGGCCATTCGAACCCATGTAACACAGTGTAGACGTAGTAAGTGAAATAAGCCAATCAAATAAGGAGGAGCAGTGCATGATTCCACTATGAGGGGGTCGTGTTCCTAGAAACAGGAAGTGGGATAGTGGTTGCCAGAGGCGGGGTGGGTATGGGAAGTAGGGAGGGCTGCTTAGGGAGTGTAGACTGGCGGCTCAGATTTGTGAGGCGAAGGTTTTCTGCAGGACGGCGGTGTGCGCCCAGCCAAGTGAATGTGCGCAATACTGGGCACTTGGAATAAAACCGGGAAATTTCATGTTGTGAACAGCCCCCCCCCCCCGCAAAGCCCAGGATGTTTGCTCGCTGAGCTCCTGTTCCCCTTCCTCAAGCCCAGGGACCCTGGCTTTTGGGACCCTGAGCTCTGTGGCTAGTCCTGTGGGTCGGGTCTGCCCCGCCAGGTCTGCTTGACCTCTCCTCCCTTCTTTCCCGGCTCCCAGCTCTCTTCTCCAGGACGCAGCCTCAGTCACCTCCTCCGCAGGAGAGGAGAGACAGGGAGGCAGCTGCGGCCAGGCTGATCCTGGACCCTGTGCAGATTGGGCTCTGCCTGATTCCCAGCCCAGAACCCATCACTTCCCGCAGCGGGTCCTGCCCTCCACCCCGGATGCCCCCTCCTCTGGCCGCGCCTCAGTCCGCTGAATCCTGGGCAGGCAGTGCGGGCGCGGGCACGAGAGAGGCCGAGGCAGGACGCCCCGGAGGCCAGGACAGCCAGACGGAGGAGCCCGGTGCCGGGACCTCGCCTGCCCGACTGGCACCAGCGCCGGCGGCTTGGGCCCCGTTAGGTGGCGCTCGAGGCTTTGCGACCACTCGCGAAAGCGCTCCTGGCCCGGAACAAAAAGCAGCGTGGTGCGAGGGGGCGCGGGGTGAGCGCGAGTGCGCAGCCGGCATCGCCTGGCACCGCGCGTGGTGCGGCTGGGCCGAGGTTCTGGGTCCGCGTGCGCTCGGCTCCGCTCGTCTGGCCCGAGTCGTGTTCGGGGAGACCTGGACGGGCGCCGGTTCTGTGGTAGCGCGTCCTCGTCCTGCGGAGCCTGGAGCGCCCCCAGCCTCCCGGGCCCCGGGAACGCCGGCGTCAGATGTGACCGCTGGTTCTGAAATCGGGGTTGAGCGCGCGGCCGGGAGCGCAGCTGTTCTCTGCCCCAGGTTCAGCTCCTCTCCCACTCCCACGAGCTCCCAAAATAGTGTCACCTCCACGCGGGCGACCCGGCCCGGCCCCTCCTGCGGCGCAGGGACGCGCACCGCCGCGGTACCCGGCCCAGCTCCGTGCGCCCCCGGCCGCGGACTTTTCGCTGTCAGAAAGTGGATCCTTGAATGTTTAACGTGAGCGCTGCTAGGTCCCCGCCACAGTGAGCTCGTCTACACCGGCGAGAACTCCGGGCGGGGAGGGCGGGACCGCGGAGTACCGAGCCTCAGACGGCAGCCCGGGTCGGGCCCGGGCCGCTGCGTTCATTTCCATAAGAAAGCGGCCGGAGGCGGGTTCCTGGCGCTCCCGCCCGCCCCCCGAGCCCGCCGGCTCCTGCAGACACCGCTCTGGGGCGCGGGCCCTGAGCGCGCCGGGCTCAGCTGGCGTCGGGAGGGCGTGTGAGGGCGCCCGGGAGGATGCCGGCCTCGCGGGCTGCGCGCCGTGGACAGCTGGCGGGTGAGTGCAGAGCGCAGGCCTGAGCGCGCAGGGCACCACGCAGAGGGTGCCACAAGGGCGGGGTTGGGATCGGGTCCTTCAAGCCAAATAGCGCCTGTGTGGGGGCGACGAGGGACACGCGGTCCCGAGGGCCGAGGGACCCGGCAGCGCGCGCGGGGCACCGCCTGGCCTGGCAGCCGCTGCGCCCCTCTCTCCAAAACCCGGGGGACTCCAAGACCCGCCGCCGCACACCCTCTTCCTGCGAAAGAGTGAACTTGCTGAAAGTCGGCGCCGCCGCTCAGGTCTTGCGCCTGTGGCGCTGAGTTCCGCTCGGCTTTCGGGGTGCGCAGCAACCTCGCGTCCTCGGTTCTGGGACACGCGCGTCTCCTAGGTGCTCTGTGATCTCATCCAGAGAAATTAAAACCCGCTTCTGTAACGTTTATTCTTAGCTTACAGAAAACGGGGAGCGGGAGGGACGCGTGAGACACCGACTGCGAAAGCACGGAGCTGCAATCCTTGGGCCCGAAAGGTCGCCCGCCAGATCCTGGCTTCCCCTGGACCCGAGCCTACCCTGGAAACTTAATCTGGTCGCCAATAAAGCACCAATCACACCGAGCAATCAAAAACCAATTATGACCATCAGTGATTTTATTCCCAATGGTTAGAGCTGAGGCCTCCAAACTCGGCCAAGATAATGCAGCTTTTCAAAAATTTTGCTACCTAAGATTTTTACTACTCCTCTCACCAAAGAGATGCCCAGAGTCGGCCAGGAGGGACCCATGGGTGAAGAAGGAGTTTTTTCTGTCAGTAAAGTTTAGGGCTGCTTCTGGTAAATTATGGAGTCTTGGTTCCTGGCACTGTAACATTAGGCGAAATGTGGCTGATGGTGGTGGTGTGGATCCTCGGTTTGGAGGTGGGATTGGGGGAGGGTGAGGGGAAGGGCGTGCTCTCTCGGGGCTCTCTCTGGGGGCTCTCCCTCGAGGCTCTCTGGTATTGCTGGAAATCCCGCTGTTTTAAAGGACAAAAGCTGTAACTCTGCTGGTGGGGCTGCGGCTCTAGGGTTTGGCTGGGAATTTAGGGACAGCAGGCTGTGGACCCAAAGCCAAAGGCAGAGGAAGGAATTGGGTCCCCTTCTCTGTGTGCTTCCTCTTTCCAGCTCCTGAGTTGAAATAGCTTTGGGGGGTCACATGCTGGCTGATCAAGGGACCTTTGAAAAATGAAAGTCTCCTGCGAACCGTCTGCATTGGACCTTTCTTGTCTGTGTGTGGGCCATCTCCTCACCCAAACGGGGCCAAGCTCAGTGCTGGGCTGAAAGGGACAGGCATGGGAGGAGGGAAGGGTGCATGGCGACCAGAGCCCAAGCAGGAGGACGCGGGGGATATCTCTGCCGGGCGAGGAGGGGCCTCTCAGCAGGATGTCCTGCAGTCCTAGGGCTTGGCCTTCCAGGCCCCTGACCGTGAACTTCCTGTGGATGTCCACAGCAGCTGGAAGCACATCTGGCTCTGGTGCTTTACCAGGCTGTGTGGCATGGAGACCTGCGTGGCCCGGGCAGTTTCTAGGCACTGGTGTCCTCACGTCTTGCTGAGACGCTCCGCAGTGCCTCCTGGTTCCCATTTGGCCTCAGCTACTTGCCCTGCAGTGGGGCATCGCCAAGCAACAGTGCAGGGCAAGAAGGGATCCTGCATAGGTATCAGGAGGCTGGGATTAGCCTGGGATTAGGCTTGGGGTCCTCACTGCTCTTGGGAAGCTCCCTAGGGACAGACTGGTTTATGGCCTGACCCAGGTTGTTGGAGAGTGTTTGCTGGACTTGGAGCCCCCCCCCCCAGCAAAAAGAGCCACGGCTTCATGAGGTGGGTAGGTGAGGCCCATTTCGGCAGGAGAGCTTAATGGGCCAACCTAAATTCCCTTCTAGCCTCCCCCCACAGAGGCACCCTGAGGATGAACTACTATTGACCCCAAGAACCCCTAAAAGGGAGCAAGAGGCTGAGAAAGGGCTCCCTATGACCCCCAACAGGGGCTTCAGGAACAACTCCAGTTTAGGGCTTGTCTGCTCCTGGCTGGGTGGGTGGGGCAGACCAGCCTGAGGCCAGGGCTCCCTGCAGGAGGCCTTGGACAAGTGGAGGGGGATTTGGGGCAGAGCTGAGGGCCCGCAGGGCTGGGCCTGTGTTCCTGCAAGAGATCTAGGGCTCTGTGCAGAGAAGGAGCACAGCTCTCTGCAGGAAGACTGTGGGATGCCTGAGTCCACTGGGTCCCTAGACCCTCTCCCCTCTCCTGCTTTTAGGATTCCCCATCCCTCCAGGAAGACCTGCTTGCTCCAGCATGGGGCAGAACCTGGGCAGGCTGAAGGCAGATCTCTTAACTTGCAACTTGCTTGAGAACTGACCTATAAGGAGGAGAGCAGAGGACCTCCATGGTGCTGGCAAACCTACTCCCTCCTGCGCCAATAGGTGGTCCTTGCCCAGGTTCAGGGAATGGGGGAAGAAGGGTGGACTGTCCTCAGCCAACCGTCAGTGCAGATGAGTTTCTTCCTCCACAGGAACTGTCCCTGACCAGCCAGAGTCCACCTAATGTCATCTTGACCCCTGTTCAGCTGGGATAGCCTAGGCCACCTCCTTCCTTGTCTTCTTTGTGGCTTCTCTTGCATTGTAGGAAGGTTGAGACATGTCCTTCAAGTCAGCAGTGATCCTAGTTTGCACCCTCACCGCAGAGCTGTGGGTGGAAGACGCAGGCAGAGTCTCTTAGAAATTCCCTGCTGTTCTCTCGGGCAGAGGAGTTGACAAAACATAGACATAAGACACAGTGACCATCAGCCAGAAGCAGCACATCTGCACTGTGGGGAACTGGGCAGGAGCTGGGCCCCAAGCTGACACGATGGACAGGCAGGCAGAAGCTGAGGCAGGCCAGTGGCAGGGCCTGCTACATTTGTGCAGTGGCCATGTGCAGGCCTGACCTGGAAAGGGCACAGCCCCTCAGAGCGGCCTGGCAGAGGGGATGCAGGTGGCACCTCTGGGGTTGAATTAAAAGAAGGGAATAGGGTGAGGAGGAGGGAAGCCACTGCCCATACTGCCACCCATAGTGGACCTTTGGAAGCTGTGTGCTCACTACGACCGGTCCCCACGGGGGACATCTGTGCCCCACAGGCTCCTGCACCCGCTGGCAGTTTGACCTCAGGCTCTGCCTTGTGCTGAGCGCAGACCCTAGGCCTACAGTGCCCAGCAGGAAATATCCCTGCTGCTCCTAGCACTGAGGGCTTGGGGACTCCTGGGGCCCTGCGGGTGGGTTCTTGGCTGCTTGGTTTCACACCTGTCTTGCAGGTAGAGTCCAGCTCGGCCTGCAGCCCCTGACAAGCCCCTGCCGCACTGCTGGGCACCAACTTCTTTCCCTCCAGCCCCGCTGGAGGCCAGAGTCCCCGAAGGTGCTGCTAAGAAAGGGGCTGGGGTGGCCTGAGTGCCAGGAACCTCCAGGGGCTGCAGGGCGGAGTGCATCTCTTGAGCTCCCAAGGCTTAGCTCCCTGGGCTTGAAGGGCACCCTCTCCTCCCTTTATAAAGACCCAGTGACTCAGCGTGGCACGCTTGCTTCCCGGGTTTCTTCGTCTTGCCCAGCCCCGAGGCCTGCAGCTCCTGCTGGACCGCAGCCCATGACCTTCCCAGTTGACCAGGGCCTTGCGGAGCAAACATGAGCGCGCAGGAGACCGCAGTGCTCCGCGCGCCTCTGCAGCGGCCTCTGGGCTCTCCCAGGCGCACCCATCACTCTGGCAAAAGCAGCGCCTCAGCTCTGCCTCAGGCCGGGGTCGCAGAAACCTGGGCTACTGAAGGAAGGCAATGATGGGCTTTGCCCAGGCAGGGAGGTGACTCGCACTCCCATGCAGGGCGGCGGCGCCGCTCTGTGCTAACCTGGGTCCTGCTGGGCTGCCAGGTCCCTGTCCTTCCTCTGTCTGCGTGTCCGTGACTCAGTCCAGCGTGGCGGGCGGGAGGGTCGCAGCAGGGCTGTTTCCACCACGGCGGCCAGTCCTGGGTCTTCGCGTCTCCGCGCTAGGCAGAGGCCTGCACAGGGTCCTTGGAGAAAATCGAGCTTGGCACCTCTCCCGGCCGCCGGCGGAGGGCTCCGTTACACAACACTAACACGGGGATTCCTTGGGTTACCTTTTTTGGGCCCACATCCGCCAGCCCTGGGGATTCTAGCGGGCGCTGCAAAGGGAGTGGTGGCTCCATTCCCTGGGGGCTTTCATGCCCCTCCTGGTAGCTCTAGTCCCAGGCCTGGAACAAAGAGGAGAGGTAACCAGCTCCCGACACTTCCGTCCCCCCTGCGAGCCCCTTCTGGACCCTGGGAAGGAAGCCTGCGCGGCGGGAGCATATAAGCCTTGCTGGCTGCCCCCAGCTCCAGGTGTGGGCGACGCGGTGCCCCTGGACTCCCTTTCCTACTGCCCACTCTGCGTGGACCCCGAACCAATCGCTGCACACTCCTCTCGGCTGGGCATGGGGCTCAGTGGCTGCGGGCTTTCTGAGCCTGTGAGGACCTGGGTTTGATCCCCAGCGCTCCCAACAAAAAATCATGCAGGACAACTGTTAAATAGTTCTTGGGAACGTGAAACACCTTTCCCCAGGACTGGAACACTCTGAAAACCCTGTTTGGCAGACATCTCCTGGGTGTGTTAAAGTAAAAAACAGGAGGGCCAGAGAGCTCTTGAAATCCACAGGATTTCTCTTTTAAAATGTTAATGAAAAGTCAGTCATTCCTTAAGCGTTATTTTGTTTGCTGCAGGCTTTAGGGCTTTTCTCCACTATTGTATCCCAAAGATTCTCAAGACCAAGCTACTAAGACGTTCATTTTCCTTTTGCTGATTTCTGGCGAACCTGTACTTTCTGGTTAGGTCTACTAAATTTATCTTTCCCTCTGTAGGCCGTTTCCAGCCTTGGAAGTCCCTGCATGACCCTTGCAGGGGCAGCTGGGAACCAGTGCCCAGCCCTTGAGGACCTGTCCATCCCAGGCCGGGAGCAGCATAGTTTGGACACTGTTTATTTCAGTGTCAGTACCAGGAGCTCGCTGAAATGAGGGCTTGCCAACCTTCCTGGAGAACAGAGCTACTGTGACCGCCCAGGAAGTCTCCAGCTCAAAACACCTCTTGTCCTTTAAAAAAAAAAAAAATTAAAAAGTGCTTTTCCTTCCCTGCCAGTGTGTGTCCTATTGTGCTGCAGCTCCAGGAATGAAACTGGAGCCCTGGTGGCCACCCTTGTTGTGCTTTGTCACCAGGTCTGGAAGGGGGAACACACACTGCCCATGTATCACTCAGGTGCGTCCTGGATGTCTCATGTTTACTTAGGCTCACGGTGCGCCCTGGAGCAGTCACACCTGATCCTGCTGTCTCTGGACAGCTCTCCAGCAGACAACAGCCCTCTGTCTCTCCCAGAGGAAGGGTCACCCAGGAAGAACTTCCTGAATACAGAAAGACCAGACCCAGGCTCTCCTCTTCCTGAGCCCATCTTTTCCCTGGGAGGGGGTGCCTGCAGTGCTCTGTGACACTGCAGAAATGACAATGATGGGGTATATCCTGCAGATGCAGCGTCCCTACATTCTTTCCAACTCCCACCACTGAGAGTTTAGTTCTGTTCGCACACGCGCGTGTGTGCACACACATACGGACACACCCCAACAAGTGTCCCATCTCCAGCACATTTCTCCTGGAAGACTCTAGTGACTGCAAACATAATTGGAAAAGTTTTTTATTAAAAAGTAAAAAAGGAAACCTCTCCCTGCATTTTGGGTTAGAGCTTTCAACACCACCAGACCCAGGAATCCAGCAGCCCTTCCTTCCAAAGGACAGGTAAGTATACTGCTTCCCTTTCTGGCCTCTGAGCTCCAGCTGTGTTTAAAAGCTAAAATTCTCTTTCCAAAGGGAAGAAAAGGAACAAATTCCATTAATGAATTACATCCGTGGAATGTGGTTTGTCTAGGGCAATTGTATTTGTAAATAACCAGCTTCCTGTTTAGTAGTTTTATTTTAAAAGGCCTCCAGTGCCTCTGAACAGTCTTAATACAGAAACAGTTCATCTTAGGGTTGGAGTTCCACCCTTGTTTCATGTTTCCTTGGGAAAACTGGGTCATAAGCATCCAGGATGTCCCAGGACTCGTCATTCTACATGTCCCAGGTTTACAGAAGTTCTAGATGAGGCTGGCTCCCTGGGATGTCACAGGACTCAGACCCACTTCTGCCCCTGTGTCTTTGGAAAGCTAACCACACCTGGTTCTGCAGCTGTGGGTCACGGCCCATTGGGCACACACCAGAGGGCTGGCATTTCAGGGTCTCTGCAGGTCAGGGGCTGCGGTCCTCCGGCAGGGTGACTGTGACCCAGTCCGAAGCAGGCAGCAGATTTTCCCACCTGCAGGAAGCAGAACTGGGCTGAGGGAGGCCTGAAACTTCCACTCAGCTGCCTGTAGGATTGCCCTGTCCTGTGCCCTCACTCCCAGAGGGCTGGACTTCGAAAACTCTAGCTCTGGTCTCTTCCAGCTCTGCATTTGAATTCAGAGCAGCTGAGTCAGTAGGTTGGAGCCTTTTCCTGAGCCTGAGTATCTCCCCACTCCCTCCCTCTCTCCCTCCCTCCAGTGCAGCTTCTTGGGAGCAGGACTAGGCCCCACCTTCCAGTACACAACTCTTAGGCAGGACTAGGGGCTCAGAAGGCTAGTTCCCACTCAGACTGTGCACAGCAGAGGGAAGGCTCCTGACAGCACGGCGGCCAGCCAGGTCCTTAGCTCAGCTCCTGAACTCCATGGTCAGCGGCCAGTGGAGCTCCCAGGAAAACCCCCAGTCTTCCTGAAGTCATGGCTGGCTAGGACCCCTAGAAGTTGAGAACCCTGCTCCTCCTCCACTCATCCAGCTCCTAAAGAAACTTTCTGTGGTCTCCCCGGCTCTGCTGTGGCCCTGGCCCACTCAGGCCACCAGCCCGGCCCCGGGACAACACTGCCTGCTGGCTTTTACCTCAGGCCTCCGAAGGCACAGCTGTAACAGCAGCAGCAGCAGCAGCAGCAGCAGCAGCAGCAGCCACAGCGTTGTCTAGAGTGCGGCTGGAGTGCGGGGCCTTCGGGAGGAGCAGAGCTGTGGCTGAACCGGGATGCTTCAGCCTAAGAGAGGTCTCAGTTGGCAATTATCAGTAACCCCAATAGACAACTCCATTAAAAAAAAAGAAAAAGAAAATTTACTACTGTTCTTGAAAGCTGTTATTTCTTACATCGCTTTTAGGACTAAGATAGATGAACAAAACATCGCGTTTCAAGCCATTTTGATCTGTAATTAAATGGCAGGATCGGTTTGTATTCTCCTACGGCTTTTACAGAAGTTGCAGTGATCCAAAGTCGGGTTGCTGTGTCAGACTGGCATTTTTATTAATGAGAATACAAAAAGCTTGCATATTCTTAGCCCTGCTTGAATTTAGTTGCTAAGCAACCGGTGTATGGTAATTCATCCGCGAAATTTAAATCTTTGAGAAAGGATCTTGGGTTTTGCTGAATGGTCGCCACGAGGAAAACAACTTGTGGGACCCACGGCAGCTGCCACGCGGGCTGTTGGGCCGTGCCGGGCTGAGCAGGGACCAGGCGGCCCCAGGACCACCGCCACCCGCGCTGGCTGCCACCTTCCCTGAGAAGGGCTGGACTGGACACCTGGTGCCTGCCCCTCCTGCTTGCCTCTGGTTACCTCGGACTTGCACCGAGGTTTGCACAACAGCAGAGCCTGCGCTGACCAAGCCCCTGCCCTGGGGCCTCTGGGTGCAGCCTGCGAGTGGAGTGGAAGCATCCCCTACCCCTGGAGAGCGTCCTGTGCACCCCTGCACGCATGCACACACACGCATTGTACCACCTCAAGAATGCCTGCTGCCCTCCTCCCAGACCCCTCTGAGGTCACTTCCAGAGCCGACTCCTCCTCGAGGAAGAGGACTCATCCCAGGCAGCGGCCACAGCCCACCAGAAGGCCAGGCAGCCGCAGCCGGCAGTGACATCATGGGCTCCTGCTTGGACGGCTCGCGCCCACGTTTAGGATACAGGAACCAACACGGATGTGAAATCAAGAATGAAAGAGAGTAATCTAATTAATAGGCCATGAGCCAGGCTAACAAAATCAAAGAATCTGATTACACCAGGATCCCTCTTGCTATCTCCGCTGCTCCCACCCAGGCTCCTCCAGACCCTTGCTATTTCCTTCCCTACCCTGGAAAGTTCAGGAGGTAAAGCAGAGCACTCAGATTTCCTTACTGAAATCAAGATCAAGCCCACCCTGAGGCTTCCCAGGCCAGGGGTCACGTGGGTGACCTTCAGGCCCTAGGCCCAGCAGATGACCAAGCCACTGACAGAAGGGCAGGGAGCGGGCAGGGAGCCGGGGAGGTGGGCTCCACCCCAGCCACACCTGTGCCCCTTACCCTGGCTACCACTCACAGGGCCTCCCGAGAGAGAGGGTTTCTCTGCTCACTGCCATTGCAAGATGATCTTTTTTTTAAACAACCACCACTCTTCCCTAATCACCTTGCTTGGGGTCACTGACCACTCCAAACTCTCCAGGCTTGGCCAACTCCCTCCCCACAGAGAGCTCCGGACTCCAGCAGCTATTAGGTTTTATCACTAAAACCACATTGCCCTAATCTGCACAGCCAGCCACGCTTGTGAAAGAAGAGAATACTTTAATTTCTATCATTCTGCCTTAAAAAAAAAAAAGAGAGAAAGAAACCAGGAAACCAGGTCCACCTCCTAAGTAACTAATTCCGAGTCTGCAACTGGTGCCAATACTTGTTGCATCCATTTTAGAGCTGATTAATTACCCTGGAACTTGGGCAAACTAAACTCCATGTGGAGAGGCTGTTTCTTCCTTCAATTTAGTTCTCGGAGCTACGAGTTATTGATGGACCTAACTCTGTTTACATACAAATTGGTGCAAATATGCCCATCTCTTCAAATGCATTTCATATAGATATATAAAAGTGTCATTTTTGATTTAGCTTAAAGACGTTGATCATTTATTACAAAAATAAACGAATAAATACAACAATATATTGTTGCTTCCAACAGGATAAATACTTTACAAATATATAATTTAAAAAAACAACTTTAATCGTTAAAATATTACACTTATCGATAAAACTATCCATAGTATATACTGCATTGAATATTAGAACCAATTATTCTCTGAATGTTGGAAATCATTCATACAAAGCAGATTACGAGCATGTAATGAACACACAGTGGGTGCTACCCGAGGGGGGGCGCTCCTGGGAGCAACAGTGGACAGCTCTAGTGTGGAACAAAGAAGTCCCTGGCTAAGAACTAAAGAAAAACAAAACAGATGAGAGGGCACCACAGCAGTTTAAGGTGTTTAAAATACACCGTGAAGGACTGATCCTAGGGACTCACTGGAGGCAACGGCTGGAAGAAGCCTGCCCAGGCTTGGGCCAGTGGCCCAGAGTCCCAGGAGACTGTAAACTGTGGATGGGCCTAGTTTGGGCTTAGCCAGGCCAGGGTGGGAGGTGGGGGTGGGGAGGTGCGTGTGACAGGACTTGGTCCCTTTCCTTCGGGCTGGGAGGGAGGGTAAGGGAGTGAAAGGGGAGGAAACAAACAGCACTTTGCGGAGCACAGGCACTTGTGCTGCAAAGCGACACAATGGTCAAATTCAGATCTGGGGACATATAACAATATTTTCATTATTTACATGTGTAACAATGTAGGCCTTAGCACAGAACCTCTCCTCCCTTACAGCTCCTCTCTTTTGTGTCTCAACTGTGAATTCCATCTTGCAGATACATTCAAAGGGTTGAAAAAATTTTATAAAATGCAAAATAACGAGACAAAATGGACCCGGTGGTGGAGCTTCTCCACTGAAGATCACCCAGCTACCCCAAATCAGCGCCTTTTCCCTAGGACTCAGCACAGGTTGCTTTTAAATAGAAAACAGCGTGAAATCTATTGTGAACTCTTTTGTTGTCAGGTAAGTCAAGTCAGCACATACTTCCCAAAATTTTAAACAGATCTATTCCTTTTCTAATCAAACACCACTATTTCGGCAGAAAACAAACAAAACACAACACAGGATTCCAACTCACACACCAGCAGTGTACACCGCATTCGGACAACCTGCACAACTTGCCCAGTTCTTAGCTTGCCGGGGGCGCTTTCTTTGCCTTTCCCCAAGACCTTCAAAACCCATGAACTTCATCCTAGCCCCTCCAGGTTGTAAATTCCCTGGGCTGGGTGATGCCTAGAGGTGTGTGAACCAAGAAAGTACAATGTGGTTTCTTCTGTTTTTTCTTTTCTGTTTAATAAATAAGCCCTTTTCAGATTTCACAAATCAAAATGATTGTGATTTCTAGTGCGATTTGGTGTTTAAAACAATGCAACCCGGTCCACGGCCATCTGGCTAGGCTGATTTATGGAAGTGACACAGGGCCTGTCTGGAGAAATGACTGCTCACGGTTGCTCCCTTGGTTTTCGGGGATTTTTTTTAACCCCTGCACGATATCACAGGCAGAGGAAGCAGAGGAGAGGGAGAGAGAGCACAATCTGAGTGATAGCCAAGTAAGAACAGGGCAAATGAATCTGTGGAATCATTACTTCAAGAAAAGCACAATATACAAGAATTCAGCCAGAGGAGCCCGAGCCTTGCTTCTGAAGGCTGCCAGCCAGGGGCACTGTGCTCTCATTCCCCGTACTGTAAACATCCATGCATTACAATGAACTCCATCAGTGTGGTCACTCTGCAGGGTTTAGCTAGAAAGTGACCTAAAAAAGCTCAAACCCCCTGCACCAGGAGAGGAGATAAAGAATCACACCGTTCCGGAAAGACAAACCACAGAAACCACACAGCCCGATGCTCTAGTTGGAATGGCCCAGATGGAAAGCAGGCTGGACCAAGGGGGCCTTCTGAACTATCTTGTCTCATTACAGGAAAAAACCCAAACAACAAAAATGCTTAATAATTTAAATTTAATTGCATATAGTTATGAATAGGAGGTAAGTGATATCAAAATATTTTATAGACTTATCAGCTATTCTTCACAACCATCAGGCTTCAGAAAAAGAGAAAAGAGGCATAGAAAAAATGTGGCGGGGGGGGGATGAGAGGATAAAAGAGGCTCAACTTGGGACATGAGTTGCTCAGAAATCACCAGTTTGGCACATTACTGGTGGTGTAGTTCAGTCATTCAATAAAGAACACAGGTATCTTCAAGAAAAGGGTTAGTATCTACAGACAAACTCACTCCGAAACACCAGACACCCACTAAAATTAAGGGGGAGAAAATGCGGTGAAATGCATGGATGGACAAGGAGTGGCCACTGTGTTAACACACCAGCTGTCCAGGCTTGCAGCAGCTCACTCTGGACCTCCAGCTACACCTCAGCAGAGCAGCCCTGTTCCTCAGCACTCTGCCCTACCAGAGATCTGCATCAGTACAAAAATAGGTCTTCGGAGAACTCTTCTCTTCCCACAGTGAGTATGCATCAGACACAGACTACTTCCTTCTAACAAATTTATTTTCTCGATCAGCTCTTACGGAATCACTACTCAAATTAAATTACAATCAAATGATCACATCAAAAGATACCCTTATTACCTAACAACTGTCCATATTTTCATTTCATTTTGATTTGTGCTCGTCTGAAAAAAACACGTAATACAAGATCTGGGGAAAAATAAATTACCGTTTTGCAGCAGTTCATAAGTATTCTGAATAAAATATTAAAAGAAGTCATTTAATGAAAATATAAAGCAAATATTTTTAGATCAACAACGGATCTAACGATTCTATATTGCCGTCTTTTGAAAAGTCTGTTTATTAAAACCTACCAAAAACACTGCTTGCAAATGGCAGTATTATATAATCACTTCCACAGCGCCCATCAGTCAAGGTTGGCCAGGGGCTGAGGTCAGGCGGCAGGGAAGTGCAGCGGCTGGTGCTCAGTCTCTCTAAATCCCTTTATCGGAGTCAGTCCAGAAATAAAAAATAAAAAATATTAATAAAAAAAATATCAGCGGTGGCATCTTTAGGCACGGTCTGCCCTGTACGCGCAGTGGGAGAAGCCGGTAGGGTAGGGCCTGGCTCTGAGGCCGGCTGGGCCTGGCTTCTCTGCATGCTGGGCACCCCACTGTCCCAGTCCATCCTCTGCTCCCTCCTGACGCTTTTATTCCCAAGGTTACTTTGAGGATACTTTCTTTTGGCTTTGCTGTTCAGTCTGTTAATTTCAGACACTGATTTTTTTTCCCCTGGAGACTGTTTCTTGCACCTTTCTCCTTCCTGTGTCATAGCTGATTTGTTAGTTCCCAAATGGCTTACTATGGCCAAGACGCACAGGTTCCTGCAGCCCAGAATCAGCTCCCAGGGAGCCTGGCGTTGTGGCTGTCTTGCAGGTGGCTCCCAGGAAAGCGTGTTCCGGAGGTGGAAGAAAAGGAAGGGGACTCTTTTTCCCTCCAAGAGGCAGCAGGACAGGGCAGGCGCTGTCCGTGGCTGCCTTACAGGACATCTCTTGGGCACAGAACACCTCGCCAGTGCAGTTTTGGTGTTAGGCATCTTCAACCTTCTTGAAAATAAAAAAACAGAACACCACCACAGCATAAATGAGATCTCGCGGTTGCTTCTTTTCCTCTTCCGGTTTTGTTTGTATATATGTGTATAAAACAGTCTAGGTATGTATTATGCTTTTTAAATTTTTTGGTCCCTCCTTCCTTGGACTTGCAAAAAAAAATGTAAAGAAATTAAAAGGAAAAAGTCTCCTTGGTCCGTGTCTCCCTCAATTTTTCCTCCAAGGGCGGGCACGCCTGTCTGTGGGCGGAGGGGAGGGCGGCGGCGCCGGGGCTCGGGCCGGGCGCCGCGGTGCAGGCTCTGCGGCGGCTGGGCGTTCGCAGGCGGCCCGTTTGTGGCCTGGTGGCGACTCGGCGGCGGCCGCGGCCCTCTGCGCGCGGCGCCCAGGCGCTCGCTCACTGCACGCTGGTCTGTAGCCCGTGGTGCGGCGGCGGCGTGTCGGCGCTCACGGTGCCCACCTGCGAGTACACATCGTCGGGCGTCTGCTGCTGGATCCCGGGCGGCGTCATGCGCTTCTCCTTTTGGCGCCGGTTGCAGAACCAGACCCGAACCACCTCCTTCTCCAGCTGCAGGCTGTCGGCCAGGTTGGTGATCTCCTGCGCCGAAGGCTTGGGACACTTGAGGAAGTGGCTCTCCAGCGCGCCCTTGACGCTCACCTCGATGGAGGTCCGCTTCTTGCGCTTGCGGCCCTGCGCTGCGATCTTGTCGATGCTGGTGGGGCTGCCGGTGCTGGAGTCCGCCTCCTCCAACCACTTGTTCAGCAGCGGCTTCAGCTTACACATGTTCTTGAAGCTCAGCTGCAGGGCCTCGAAACGGCAAATGGTGGTCTGGGAGAACACGTTGCCGTACAGCGTGCCCAGCGCCAGCCCCACATCCGCCTGCGTGAAGCCCAGCTTGATGCGCCGTTGTTTGAACTGCTTGGCGAACTGCTCCAGGTCGTCGGACGTCGGTGTATCTTCGTCCGAGTGCGGGTCGTGGCTGTTGAGTCCGGGCCCTGCGCCGCCGTGATGCGGGGCGCCCTGCGCGTGGTGCGGGTGGGGAGGGTGCGGGTGTGCGTGGTGGTGATGGTGGTGGTGGTGCTCAGCCAGTTCAGGCGTGTCACCGCGAACCAGCCCCGGGTGCACCAGGCTCTGCGCAGCGCCGCCTGCGCCTCCACCACCGCCGCCACCGCCGCCGCCGGGCCCGGGAGGCGCGCTCAGCATGCCGTTCACGGTGAAGCCCCCGGGCTGCGAGTACAGCAGGCCCTGCGGCGGCGGCTGCTGGCCTCCGGCCATGGACGGGAGATGAGCGGCGGCGGCGGCGGCAGCAGCAGCGGCGGCAGCGGCAGCAGCAGCACCCCAGCCCCCCGGGTGGCCCTGGTGTGGGGGCGGCGGTGGGGGCCCCAGGTGCGGCGGTCCGCGGTGGTGCAGCGCCGCGCCCGCGTGCAAATCATCGCGCCCCGCGCCGCCCTTCACGTCGGGGCCCTGCGGGGGTGGGGGTGGGGGTGGGGGCGGCTGCTGCGGGCTCCCGGCCATGCCCACCGCGCTGCCGGACCAGGGTGCGCTGGCCTCCACCGCGGCGGCGGCGGCGGCAGCGGCGACAGCGGCGTGGGGTAGGGCGGTGACCCACTGGTGCGCGTGGCCCAGCATATGGCCGCCGTTGCTGGCGGCCATGGCCCCCTGCATGAAGTCACTCTGCACCATCTTGACGGAGGCCGGGTCCCCGCGGTAGGCGCCCGAGGTCACGGCGGCGCTTCCCGGCTGCATGGCGCCGCCGCCGCCCCCCGCGCCGCCCCCCGCGCCGCCGCCGCCCCCACCGCCGCCCGCCGCGTCAGAGTGCACGATGGAGCCGGCCGCCAGCAGGCTGCTGCCAGGCAGGTACGGGTTAGAGGCCGCCGTGGCCATGCCGCCCCGCTCGCGCCACCCCACGGCCGCCACCGCCGCGCCCCGCGCCCCGCTGCGCGCCCGCCGCGGGCCCGCTGCCGCCGCTGCACGGCCGTGGGCAGGGCGCGGGGGTCGCCGGCGCGCCCGGGTCAGCAGCAGCTGCCGCGGCGACGGCCGCGGCCGCCGCGCTGCGGGGAGGGGCGCGCGCTACCCGGGGCGCGCTCCGTGGCCAGCCCTGCCGCGGGGGGTCGCGGCCGCCCCCCAGCCCCGATCGCTGCCTTGTCCGGGAGTCGCTGGGCCGGGCCGGGCCGGGCCAGGCGGGGACGCTGCTGCTTTCCGGCCTCTTGGGCGCGGGGTTCGGTCCACCTGCTAGGTGATGGCTCCGCGGGCGACAACAAAGAAGCGGCGCCTTCCCTCCTTCGCCAAGTCACGCGTGGCCAGCCGCCGGCCCGATCACGCAGCCTCTGCTGGTTCTCACTCAGGAACGCATTGCTCAGGCTTCCCCTTGGCGTGGTAAAACTTTTTGGGTCCCGGAAGGCTTGGCGGTGCTGGGCGATCCTGGGCGTGGAGAGGGGAGCCCGGCGCCTGCTGCCCCCCTCGGGTCCACTCCTTCCAAGTTTGGTTCTGTCCTAGGAAAACTTCCTCCGAGGGTGCATTGCGCTGAAGTTGCTATTGCCGTACCTCTAGGCTGCCTCGGACACAAGAGTCCTTTCTCATTCTCCTCGCAACAGTCACAGTCTGATACGACATCTTTCCTTTTGGGCAGAAATTAGGAAACAAATATAACAAGGAAAAAAATGCACAGGAGAAAAAAAAAATGATGTCGAACTGCTCTGTTACCTTGTCGCTGGCGCTTTGGGCTGGTGTTTTATTTTTTTTCCAGTAGTGGTCTGCAGGAGGAGGAGGAGGAAGCGTGCATTGGCGGCTGCAGAGGTGTGTGAGTGCATAGAGGGGCTCCTGCGCCCGACCCCTCCGGGGACGCTGCGCGCTCGCTTGCTCTCGGGAGCCCCGACGGAGGCGCGGGCCGGGCGGCGGAGGTGCGGCGAAGCTGCTCTGTGCCCTGGTTCGCGCTCTCTCCTCGCTCGCCCTCGCGCACTTTCCCTCTCCCTCCCTCGCTCGGCTCTCGGGCGCCCGCGCTCGCTCGCCGCGATCTGACAGTTCGCTCTCTGTCCCTCCCTCACCGAGCGGGGACTGTAGAATGTTTACCCTCCGCCGCGAGCGCGCACCCACCACCACACTTTCCCAAATACAAGGAAGTCGAACGCCAGGGCCCCCGCCGATTGGCTACCCGCTGCGTGATTGGCAGCCCCGGAATGACTGGCTCCGGACGCGCGGCCCCCCTTCCGGCCGTTCCGATTGGTTGCTTTTTAATTTAGGCAGCGCGTCGTAGAAGCCTGAAATCTGTCGTCCTTCGGCCCGGCCCCCCCACCTCCCCGCGCCACTTTCCCCTCCCCGCCCTTCCCCCGCCGCTACATCTTAACTCTTAGCGTCCAGCCCGAGGGCTGGCGTCCCTCGGCGGCTCGGTGCGTTCGCGATCGGTCTGGGGGGCGGGGGAGAAAGAAGAAAGAGAGGGAGGAGGGGGGTGCGAGGAGGAAACCGGAGAGAGGAAAATCACGGGAAACCGCGGCCGAATCACCCCACCCAGCCCTCCTGCGTGCGCCCGGCCCCCGCCCCCACCCAGAGAGCCGCAGGGCGCGCGGCACGGCGCCCTGAGTGCGCGGGTACCTATGCACAGAGGTGTCCCCAGTGGGTTCGAAGTTTCCTCTTCCCTTCCCCCGCCGGCCCCCGGCTCTGTCCCGACGGGGGCGGCCCCGGGTGGGGGCCGTGACCACGCGCCTTGGACCTCCGCCACCGTAACTTTGTGCAGCGCGGCGCCGGCCCCTTTGTTTAAGTTCGCAGATGCCATCGTCGGAGCCCGGCGGCCCGCACGGCGCGTGCGGTCGGACCCTTGCCGCCCTCCCGCCCGCGCCCCCTCCCCGCGCCACCCTCCGGGGGACTCGGGCGCGCGTGCCCTTGTGAGTTTGGAAGTGCCGGCCGGCGGAGCCACGCGCCGGGTTTACAAGGCAGTCAGTCCGAGCTTCCCCCATAGATGCCTCGTAAGTGCCTCCGACCCCAACCGCAGCCTCGAGCACCCCAGAGCGGCCGCAGGAGCCGGCCCGAGCGCGGGGATCCGCCGGCCGCGCCCTGCACCGCTGCACCGCTTACCGTGTGTGTGCGTGCGTGCGTGTGCGCGCGCGTGAGTGTGTGTGCAATTTCAGTGTGATTGTTAGGAGCGGTGGGGCTTTGCTCGCTCGCTATTTTTAGTCATCGTGGTGCTTTTCTTCTTTCTGTTCTGTCTCAGATGGTTTTGCGTGGTGCATGGGGCTGGCGGCCGCGGAGCCTTCTCAACCCCAGCTCGGCTGAAAGAGTTAAGGGGGACGGGGTGGGGGGCGGGGTAGGCGGGGGAAGCTGAGGTGGGTGGAGGGGGGGACGCGGCCAAGCGGAAACGCTGCTCTGAGGAGCTTCAGCGAACCAAGAAAAAAAAAGAGAAAGTGGCAACGAAAACAAGGGCAAATTGAACCCTCCTCGGGGATTTCCAATGAACTAACCCGATTCGGACATTCAGTAAATACGCGGTTCCTAATGAGTGTGCGTGTGCCCACACCCCGCGCCCCAGCCCAGCGGTGGCCCGGCTCGGAGGAGCTGAGAGCGGGCCTGCGCGCCTCGCTCTCCGCTGCGCAGCTCTCCGCAGCCGGGGGAGCCGGCCCCGCAGCCTCTGATGGTCTCGGGACCCGCTGCTGTGTCGCAGGCGATCGAGCTCCCGCTCGCCGGGAGAACGGTGCCATCGTAGGTGGCTTTCAGCAAAGCCGTACTGCCAAGTTACAGACCTAAACGGCGGCAGTACTCAAACCCCAAACAGAACGGATTTTTGCTCTCTGCGTCTCCTGTAGGTCCCTTTTTATATTTATGTGCGCGTCAATGTATATATGAAAGATAGAACACAGATTTCATTGAATAAATCTGAGATCTCCAGGTGCAGACGTTGGAATAGTCGGTGCCAGCACCCCGTGTTTTCCTTTGCTGCCGATTTTGCTTGGATCAGGCTCAAAAACCGAGAGAGTCTCGTGGTTTTGTTTACACTGAATGGGGAGCAGAGGAACAGAGCCATGGGGCCGCCTTTCATTAATATACAGTGAGGATTTTGTCTAAATTACTGCTATGAATTTCACAGTACACGCTTTCAAAAGCAGTCTCAGGTGGCCTGATGAAACGCGATAGCGCCTCTGCAAACAGCTCCACTTTCTTTCTCTGCGTGGAGGATGTGTGCGCTTACGGGAAGCCCCCCAAAACGCTGCGCGCCCGGAGAAGGGAGACGCGCTTGGGCTCCGCGCTCTGTCCCCTTCATCTCCCCCCTTTCCACGTACTTAGTTCTCGCATCGCTCCCCACCCCCCGCCCCACCCATCCGCCCCTTCCCTTTGCAGAGTGTGATTGTTTTGTCTGGAAAAAAAAATCCAAAGTATATAACAAGGGGAGAACAGTTAGTGCTGATTTTCATTTGCATACATTTTCATATATTTTGGTGAAAATAATAGACTAGTGCGAGCTGGGCTTAGAGGACTCAGTGTAAAGGGAAGGCTTGGGCTCCACCGGTGCCGGGGAGTTGAGAATCTGCCTACCCTCCGCCCCCCCCCAAGGAACTTTATTTAAAAAAAAATAAAACAGCTTCTTTTATTTTAAAAAATCTAACCTTGGAAGTTTGCTCGGTAAGTGTTTTTCATTTTCTTTCCCTGCGTTCTCTTCTCTCTCTCCTGTCTGGTGTATTTGTCTGTGGTCTTGGAGGTGTGGGCGCTTATTTTCATGGCTGGGGACAGGAAAAGATTCGCAGGGCCGCTGTCTGGAGGCGGAAGGGAGAGTGTGCTGGGGAGGAAGGAAGAGAAATCCAACCCTGCTAAAATATTGCATAAAAATATGGACTCATTCCAAAGCTCCATAGAGCGAGGAGGCACTTTTGGGGTGTGTGTGTCAGATGAGTGCTATTAATTTTAATTGTTGATGGAGGGGAGCTGCAAAAGAATGTGACTGTGAGGCATGCACTATATAAATGTTTCTTGTTTGGGATTTTTTTTTCTCCCAGAGAATCAGGGTAACAGGGGAAGAAACCCCTTTCTGTAGCTGGTGGTGATGTGCTGAGCCCTGTGTACCTGTTGGGGTGGGTGGGGGACTGGCTCTGGGAGCTGGGGGTGGGGGTTGGCACAGGGAGGGCAGGAGCTGAGGCAGAGGAGGAAGCCAGGAGGGAGAAGAGCAGGAAGTCAGCGCACCCCTGGCTAATGCGAGTCTGGGGGGAGCAGGGGGAGGTGCAGCGCCTGGCTCTGCAGTGAAAGCCCTTCCCCAAAGCCGGTGATCAATCAAAACTAACCAGTCCATCCGCGGACTTTCCTCCCCACGGAGGCTGGAGCGTCTGCATGAACCTCGATTTTACTGTGTTTTCCATTTTTGACAGCCTAGCTGCCCCCTCCCTGCCTGCCTGGGTCGCTGGGATTTGTGAAACTGAGGGTGCGATTATTTACCAGGAGCAGTCATTAGATGCCTCTGGCTGGAGGAAATAGCTAGGCCAAGTCCAAGCCGCAGAGCAGAGTCCTACCTTTGTGAGAGAGGCCGGAGAGATTTGCAAAGCTTCTCGGTTTTGTTCTTTTTTAAAAGGAAGCCGCATCTGGGGCCAGGAAGGGGAACCAGGGGGCTGGGTTTTTATTTTATTAAATCTTTGTATACGGTACACCTTGCAGGGTAGAATTGGTGATTTATTTGGAAACAGGGCAGTAGCTTGTGACAAGAGGCAGAGGGTTTGGCTGGGGAGGGGCTCAGAATGGCCCGTTTTCCACCCTGGTTTATGTGCTTGGCAGCGACCCTTTGACTGAGGTAGCTGCGTGCTCCGCCGGACCACAGGCCATATAGAGCTGCTCCCTGAAGATCATTTGTTTCCTTGATGGGGAACATTTCTGAGCAGAGCATATTGGTTGCCATAGAGAAAGAAATAAAAGGAAGAACACTAGTCACATTAAGCTATATGTTTGTGCAGTGGGCTTTAGATAAAAGGACCTTGGTTCAGCCAAAGAGAAGACGCCAAGCTAGAGATTTCTAGTGCCACTAAAACTAGCTTTATTTTGTTTTGGACTTTTACAGTTGAAACATATAAGCTAATTTTATTGGTTGTTGTTAATTTTATATGACACGGTTTACTGAACAAAATAAACTTTGCTAGGGAGTAGCGCTGAGGACTCGTCAGCAGGGGGCGCGCCGACTCGTCGTAGCGGGCGCTGGGGAAAATACAGTGGTTTCAAAAGCAAATCTGCTCCTGGAATTTGCCAAAGGAACAAACACTTTTACCTTTCAATGCATATGCAGGGTGAAAAGTGAATTCATTGCATAACGCAGGATTTTAAAACGCGAGTACAATGACGTCCCCACCCCCGCCCTCCCGTGTCTGTGAACAGGCCCAAGGCAGGCAGGGCACACACCGTGTTCCTCCGTTTTCCCGCGGGGAAAGTACCTACAGGATTGTGTGCAGAAATGGGATGTGAAATTCTGAAGAGAAAAAGCTTTTAAAAATTATTATTATGCTTACATAATAGGATACTTTAGAAGCTACTTTTTGGGTTGTATATTTTGGGAAGTGATCAAGGAGGGAAAAAAGGATTCTAAAGTATTATCTGTTCAATAATTGAGATTCTTCACTGAGATACATGCGCTGGCTTCTAAGTAAAACTCAGGATCCTGGAGATGCAAGTCTGAACCGGCCAGGATACTCTAGCCACTGGTTCCAGGTGCCCCTATGGTTTTACAAAGATTTTGGCTTCACCACTGAAAGGCTTGGTGGGGAAAAGAAAATACAGAGTAGCCATGGGTTGGGGGAAACTGGATTTAAAACATATTTTGGTACAATATTACTTAACTCATTTGAAGAAAAGTTTTAATAGAGAGCAAAGTTGCTGCCTCCAGGATTTTTAGATACTGTGCTGGAAGACTGAAAGCCACGCGGGTAAAAAGGATGAGAGAGAGGTGGAAGAGGTCCTGAAATGGTGAGGGGGTGGATGCCCACTGGCTTGCGGGAATTCAGTCAGTCTGTCACTGACCAGTAGCTAGGAAGGGGCCCCTGGGTGGCAGCGATGCACCTGTGAGCATCCGGCCAGCTAGAGGGTGGCTCTCAAGTTCCTCCCAACGAGAGGGCCACCGGCCACCTTGTGCTCTCTGCAGCTGCAGGCCACTTGCTTCCAGCCACGAGAAGTTTCTCTTTAAAACTAATTTTAGTTAACTCAGAGTTTGGGATGAAGTGGGATTTCATGGAGCGCGGCTAGGACAGAATGCATGCAAGCAGAGCAGGCCCTGGCCAGCACTTTTTAATCCCCCCCCCCCCCCCGAAAGCTCACATTTGGGTCAGGAAATGTACTGTCAGGTTGGTGCTAATAAAGAAAACAGAGAATCGGGGAAACTGTAATTTGAGCCCAAACATTGCTTTTTTCGTCAGCTCGCTGGACATTTCAGACAAAAGCCTTCCAGGGCAGGTCCCTTGCACATTTGAGACAAATGTCTCACAGGTCCCACTTACTCTGCACGCCCTGCAATTCCCTATGCTTTTGAGAAAAAGTAGAGAAAAAGAAAACTTTTTGTTCCCTTAGACATTTTGTAGAACACAGGTGAAGAACACATTCTACTCAGTTAGATCAGATTTTCATGTGTGAGATTTTCTTAAGATCTGTGGTCCTCCAGGCGGCTGCTACTTAATTTTCTTTTTCAAAAATATATTTAAAAAGAACAGGGAAAGAAAAAAAAAAAAAGGACTTGGCTCTCATGATACCTCCAGTCGTAGGTAACCTTGTAGTGAAAGACACAAAAAATAAGATTTCTGGGCAAAGCAACAAGTTAATTTGAGAATAAAGGACACAGTAGAGAGCCCATGGTAGCACTCTGCGATGATTTGGGGGTGGAGAGGACCAGGCTGGGCAGGAATGAAGACCTAAAGCACTGGGCCAAGCTGCAGACTTTTAATTGTTGGGGATGGGGAAATTGCTTCTGGTAAATGAGGGCATGAGGAACATTACCTGGGTCAAACGTGCCAAGCCCAGAGTGGGTCTTTATTCATTTGTTTCCATTTCCGAATGAGAAGGTACTCGGTACTGACACAGCTTGGACGCACATTTCTCATTAGCGTTTCCAAATTAAAGTGTAAAGCAAACCCACAGATCCACACAGAGTGTTCTGTGCAGAGGGAGGACTCCGGAACGGTAGCTTTCGGGTGGAGAGGAAAATTTGCTGTGTTAGCAGTGGCCGAGTTTTTTCTTGGGATCGCTAAGTTTTTTGAAGTGTACCCCACCCCCAGGCCTTTGTATGGCTTTGATAACTGACTTATCTGATCTTGGAGAAAGAAAGAA